CTTGAATACTGTATTTTCATTGGCCTACAACGATCACGTGTGACGTGTCATAGCACACTCCCTGTGATGTGATATCCCACAGGGAGTGTGCTATGACTTTGTGCGTACGCGTACGTTCACACGTAAAACGCAGCGAACCGCAGACTATAGCTGTTTCAAGCATGCTACGTGCATGTGAGTTGCCGTTAGATTGTCATGATTGTTGTGTTTACTGCTGTTTGTTTTCGTGATTTTTACATCAAAATCCAAAAAACTCCAAGACATAGGTATAACAAAACAATGCAGGCGATTCACAATGCAGTGCGCCACCAAGAGTTTGCCATGGAGAGTCAACTTTTCAAGTTTACGGTCGACAAAATATGGCCCATGTGAATAAGTGTCAGTAGACACTTGACCTAATTTTTAATAGCCGCCTTACCGAAAATCACCATATTGATACAAAGAAAAGAAAACGGCAAACATATACTCAAATCATACGCTTACGAAACCACTGACCGGAAAAAAAAATGAACAATTTCAAATGTCTTGCGCTGCGAGTTTGTCGACTATCTCCCACAATGCATCGCTGGGAAAAAATGAACTCTCCAATGAATTATTGGTGGCGCTCTGCATTGTGAATCGCCCGAATTGTTGACTGGTGTGATGTGGGATATGACGATTTAAACGCCCTCAGTTTTAAACTGTTTCAACAGTTGTTAAGTGAAGGGAGATGTCATCTCAATGAAGGTCAGTCATTGCAAAATGATGACAAGACATGAATCTGGGACTGAGAAACATTTCCAATTTTGTCAGGAAATACTTTTTTCTTTTCTCTGCATAGACATGTACACAACCGCTGAAGTAGCGTCGGGTTGCAACATTCTTTCCCACCCCTGGAAATTTCTGAAACAATGTGTACAGGATTGTTGAGAATAAAAAAAAAACCTTTTACCCATGCATCATTTGTGTGTGAACTTATTTTCATGGATTTTCACAGCGTAATGTTTCAACTTTTTGACAAATATGAATTATTGCAGTTGCACAATAAAGGGGAAAAATCAGCCTGAGATTATTGTGGACAAAATAAGAGGGCGCTATTTGGAGTGTATGACTGAATTTGCATAAATACAAAGCAATGGCGGCAGGTGTGGTTCTGGAGCCAATATTTTGTGGGGGGGGGGGGGTGCCTAGCAGGGTGGATCCAGAATTTTTTAGGTCTAGGAGGTATCCACCCTCGCGACTACTTATTTAGGGGGAGACCGTTCGCATGAACGTCACATTCTTATATTTTGCTAGTGCAAATTTTTTTTTATGGGGGGTGGGGGGGCTAGACAAAACTTTGCCCCCTCGAAGAACTGCCACTGAGTGGCGGATCTAGAGGGGGATTGCAACCAGCAAACCCCCCCCCCCCCCCCATATTGAACTCTTGAGTAAAGTCGGCCAATGGGTAAAGTCGGCCAATGGGGGGGGGGGGGGGGGGTTTCAGGGTCATGTAATTAATGACCAGAATGTTGATTGAACAGTTATGATAAAAATAGAGAAACATAAACATGCATACATGTAATGATCATTTTCTTTTACACTTTAACAAGAAAGAAATCAACCATTTTGTGTTACACAATTTCAAACAAACGTCTCAGAAATTCTTCAATGACAGTTTCTCACAACCTGTACAATTACTCTTGCTCCGAAAACCAATTTAAGAAATAAAACTCTCAAAACCCCAATATTAGGATAAAACATTTACAATTCTTCACAACTAACAAATCCCAAAATCATTTATAAATTTGAATAATAAGCGAAACAACTCATTAAAGAAAATACTGAAATACTTTCATCTCCATTGAAGGAAATTGCTTTTAACAAATTCTAAACATTACAGCTTTTTTTCTTTTGTCATTTCATCAATCCATAGACATTGTACTCAACGTACTTGACAGTTGTTTTAAAATATGTACATACCAAGAGTAAATTTGAAGCTTAAAGGTCGTCACGAATAATTACAAATTACGAATGGAACATTTACAGTGCAGCAATATGATCATGTAATTTACAAATATTTTGGGCTGTCAATTTTCAAATAATTTAGTACTCGATTATTTGAAACTGCGATTGACCGTATATTAGAATATTCGAGAATACTCCAGATTCTCTTATCTAGTTTTTCACGCACCATGCAGCTTGAACACATGTGCCATGCCGTTCAATTGTTGCATGCAAAGTATGCCAGTTAAAATTGTGCATGGGGAGCAATGTTATAGCTCGCTGGATTGTTTTGCCGTATTGCAGAAGGCCAAAACAAATATGAAATTGCTTGTGATCGACCACATGTAAAGGTTCATTTGGTCAATTAGACCACGGATCCTACACACAAGGATTAACGACTCGGCCCAACTCCTGGTTAGAGGCGTGATAACGGCCTGTACTGGTGGCAAATACCATGAATACTTTTCAACAAAGACCACTGCGCGCGGTGGCTTTAAGATTTGCAAGGCTCTTCGCCCGATCTGGCCTCGAAGTCTGTCAAGCCAGCGAATTATATTTTTGAATATTCATGAGTCTAAGTTTTCGGTCTTTATTATTGAATTCTGATAAGTGATAAGTACATAACCATGGTAACGCCGAGCACAATATCTTTAGCTTGAAGATGAACAATGAAGTGTCGCTTTTGTTTCATCGACTCGGCATCCTATGTCTCTAAAACTTTTTAATAAAAGCCTAATTAAAAATGAAATTTGGGTAAATGGTGTTCTCGAAATTTGTCGTTTATTTCCCGGGTAAATACTTCATATATGATGACAAAAACTGAAGTACAGTTGAGTCTCGCTAATACAAACTTGTTCGGACCTAGCCAAATTGTTTGTAATATCAGAATTTTGTATTAAGAGGAACATCAGTCCCATTCATTGTGCACATAAATGCACAGTCGGGACTAAGGCTTTATGTTTGTTATAACCAGAATTTTGTATTAACAGAGTTTGTACTAACGAGATTCGACTGTATTTATTTTGTTAATAATTTGGAACAATCATATCTTAAATAAGAAGTAGTTTTACTTACAGTTTTATGAATATTTCCGTTTTAGATGTCGTGCAAAAACCCAACACAATGGAACATCTGGAAAATTTGCGATTACGCGCCAACGGGTATTAATGCCCGTTATCACGCGTCTAACCAATTAAGGCAAGTCCGCTCAGTGCATTTTGTACTAAAGCTCAGAACAGTCGTTTATCCTGGTGTCTAGGATCTGTGATTAGACCCTCAGCTTGGGGGTTCAGTCGGTATCAAATGAGGGGAATAATGTTCATTGTGTTTTTGGCAAGGTATATATGCACCCCTGTAGTTGGAAAATATGTGATAGCATTGCAGCGGTGGCAGCTTTTTGGGTGCTATCACTTTTTAAAGAAAAAAATGGCAGCCAAAACATGCTTGTTACCACATTATGATTAATCCAGTAACAAGTATATTGACGGCCATTTTGGAAAAAAAACAAAAAACAAACAAACAATTAAGTGATAGCACCTACAAAAGCGGCTACGGTATCACACATTTTCCAACTCTAGATGTATATACGGTACATGTACCGTACCTTGCCAAAAATCACTTCGATGAGCATTGCTCTTTTCGATCATTTGTGGCCGAATTTTTTAACTGAATCCGATAGCCTGTAGGTGTGGTATAACAACCATAACATTTCTTGAGGATTTTATAAAGAAAACATTGTGTATTTTTTTGTTGCAATATTTACACAAATCTGGGCAAATGTATCCAGTAATTACAAGGTCTCAAATGTATATCGATTTGAACAATTTCCAACAAAATCAAATATACGTACACCACTTTTGAGTTTGATATTAACATTGTACAAGTGACCTCAACTACATTGTACACAGTGCATATTTATCTGTCTACGTGAGGTGATCGATTTGGATCTAAAAGTGCCTGGAACAGGTTTAAATCTCTCTTCTGTCAATCTTCGTCAACTGTGAACATGACAAAGCATGGTTTCCCTTTCCTTCTGAAATGCATTGATGCACACTTGGACTGCATCGTGTACATGTACATGTACGTCATTTACGCCACTTTCATATTGGGGCAAATGTCTTGAGTGTTCATTACCATTTTAAGCATTCAAAATAAGAAATTGTGTGCCCAACCAAAAAAATTAAATTGAATTTTAAACAAATGATTACGTGAATGTCCAAGGGCAAAACAAGAAAAAAAAGAAAAAACACGTGTTTAGCGCCTGCCTTTTTGAAAAAAAAAAAGGAAGGAGGCCCTTTTTTCCCATTACGACTTGCTGGGCTATTTTTCAAGATGGTTGCCAGCTTTTTTTTTTAAATGGCCGCCTTTTGAACGGAAATACATACCAGCTTTAGGTCTACATGTACATGTATATATGGGTAAGATGCAACAGGCAGAGGCAAAAATGATGTAACTGTTTAAAATTTATCATTCTTTTCTTTCAAAAAAAAAAAAAAAAAAATGGCCTCAAAAAAAAAAAATGGCCTCAAAAAAAAAGGAAGCGGGGACGCTTAACACGTTTTTTTTTATTTAGCATAATAATGACACAATTACGCGCCTATCAATTGTCCCCCCCCCCCCCCGGCTGCCCCACCCAAGGCGTGGGGATTGTCACTTTTTAAGTGACAAAATCCCCACCCCTCAGGCAAAATTTATGTGACAATCCCCGACCATGCCCCGACATACATACGTGGGGCGCACTAGTGATTGCCTTTCCATGCAGTACGCCAATGTTAACAATGTAATTTGAGTGACCAAAATCCCCACCCTGGGGCATGAAAAACGTGACCAAATCCCGACCTCTGACCTGGGGCAACGCAAGGGGGGAGGGGTGGGGGAAACATTTGTTAGGTGCATTAGTCAGGTAGTATCAGTAAATGAGTTTTTCGGGTGTTCCATGCTTTTCCACTGCACATCTGTTCTACATGTTCTTCAGTGTTCAATGCTGTAGTCGAGTCAATCAGAAGTTCGGTCTACTGGTGGGATTAAAATCTGGGTTTTTTTTTTAATTCGGTTTGAATTCTACAACAGTTATCATTCGGTTTAGATTTTGGGAAACGGATATTCAACACCACTCTTTAACTAGTTCGCGCCAGGATTATTTTGACATTGACCTGACCCAGCCGCGGGATTGTTTGTCACGAACCTCAATGCCAGACGGGTTCCGGCCGCCATCTGCGGGTAGCACTTACTGACATTTCCGGCCTGGCTCGCTGCAAGCGGGGTGTTAATGGTTTGTCCCTACACTTCAGCAACCACCGTTCCAATCTCGGTCACCTCCGCTATTTCTGACTGCCCGGATGCAGCTATGATGATCTCAAAGAGCTCCACCTGTTCCGCGGGATCTTCCTGTGCGACTGGCTGCGGCGCCAATTGGTCAAGCGTTGCGACTGCGCCGGGACCGTGCTTAAGCCTCTCGTGGCTTTTCAAGGCGCTTCGCGACGCGAAGATTTTCTCGCAGCCGCTGCAGGCAAAGCGTTTGCTCTTCCCCGCGTGGATCAGCTCGTGATCCTTGAGATTCGAGGAGCGCGTGAACTTCTTGTTGCAGGTCTTACATTCAAACGGTTTTATCCCGGTGTGGGACCTTTCGTGCCGATTAGTGGCTTTCTTGGAGGTGAATGTTTTCCCGCAGAGGGCGCAGGAGAACGGTCGTTCACCAGTATGTGACCTTTCGTGGATCACTAAATCAGATCGAGAGACAAACGAGGACTGGCAATATTGACAGATGCGACTTGCTTCGTGGATTTTCTCGTGCATTTTCAAGGACTTTTTGGTTTTGTAGCCCTCGGTGCAAACTTTGCAGACGTAGGGTTTCCTTATGATTTCAAACACGCCAGGTTCTTTGGTAATCACCTGATTACGCGACAGGGGGACTTTCTGAATACCCGATTTCTCAGCTGGGTGTTCTTTGATGCGGTGACGTCGCAGACTGCTTCGGGCGTAGAAAACCTTGCCGCAGGTCTTACAAGCAAATGTCTGATCATCAATGTGAGTCTTTTCATGGTCGGTGAGGTTGTGGATTTGCGTGTACGCCTTGTTGCAAATCTTACAGACGTAGGGTTTCAAACCGGAGTGTCTGCGTCCGTGTTTGATGGCAACGGCTTTGGATCGGAACGCCTGGCCGCATTCGCCGCAAACGAAAGGTTTTTCGTTAGTGTGGGATCTCCGATGGACATCACGGATCTTTTTGTCGCCGAACGCCCGACCGCACAGATCACAAGAGAACGGCTTGGTGTGGTACCTCTCGTGACTGTGAAGCCAGCTCTTCATCAGGAAGGTCTTGTCGCAGTAGCTGCACTGAAAGATCTTGGACTGAGTGTGGATGTTCTTGTGGAGCTGCAGGTAGCGTCGTCGCTTGAACGTAGCCCCGCAGGTCTCACAAGCAAACGGTCTATCAGTGGTGTGTGAAACCAAATGACTCTTCAGATTAGCTGCCGTGCCGAACGTCTTCTGGCACGTCGGACACTCATGATACCCTCCATCAGTCTTCCTTGGTTTTGGCTCCGTCTCGCCAGCATGCTTATCTTTCTTGTGCTTCTTGGACTTTTTCTGCTTAGAACGTTCTGATTTATCCTTCTTGGATTTCTTCTTGTGCTTCTTTTCTTTGTGCCTGGCGAGTTTACCGAATTGGTTAGCCTCTTGGTAACCCAGTTGAGTGGTGATGGTTGAGGCCAGCCCAGTCAGTATCTCCACAGCCGATGCAATCTCTAAGGAGCTGTGAAGATCCTGGCCTTGACGGTAGAGAGGACGGGGAATCTCACCTGATTGAAGACTCTGGCCTGCGACTCCCCCCTCTGCATTTGGTTGGTCGGTCTCGGTTTGCACTTGCTCAGCACAAACGAGGGCATCTGGGTAGATATAATGATACTCGGTCTGACCATCAGTGGACACGGGTTGACTTGGCCCCGCCTCAGTGACCATCTGGATCGTTTTAGCGTCAACAGCTACGTGGTTACCACCCGGAAAAACCACCTGGCTTCTGGTGGGGATTAACTGGCTCCCCGCTATTTCACCCACCTGTGATGTTTCAACCTGCTCGGTGACGTACTCGATCTGTTGTGCCTCTGTGGGCTGGATCTGATCGGTAGTGGTGAACTGATACTGCTGGGAACCAGTTGCCTGGTCCTCCTGTCCCTCCACCGTCTCCAGTGTTTCGTGCTGGACTTCAACACTCATGGCAACGTTCTGGGAGGAGAGGCTTTCGATAGCTTCTAACAACTCCTCGGTGTTCTTGACGGTGAGAATTGTTCTCGTGGTCGAGTTCCCATCGCCATCCATTCCGCACTCCATGTTTTCCATGTTGCAACCTGCATCAAAACAAAAACAATGACCCAAACTTAAAAAATTAAATTGACTGTTTTCTGCTTTCAACCCTAACTTTCTAGGCATTTTTGCTAGGATGCAACCTCAATCCTGCAAAATCCTCCAACTGCCTCCATGTCAAAATTGCATACAGCCTCAATACTGCAAAATCCTCCGTTATTACTTGAATGTGGTCCTAGGGTACTTGAAATCCTCTGCACTGCTACGTAAGTACAGGATGTCACTGGCTCTGCCTCAAAACATTGACAGCGATTGCTGGAATAATTTTTTTTAGGAATGAGACAGTGGTCACTGACCACTGCCTTAATCCTGGAGCAGTGGGGAGGTTTTAAAGTATAAAAGGGCCTAAATTAATGCAAGGCTGTGCGAAAAGTGTTCATGAACAATACAAGATCCAGCCTCAGACCTTGACACTGTGTATCCTCCAAATCCGCCACACAGTTTTTCCATAGGCCTACATGTAGCCTTAATCCTGCAAAATCTTTCATTTTGGACTTCGGAGGAAGTCAGTAACGGCAATGTTAAAGTTGATTTCAATTCTTTCAACAACAAATATAAACAAACCACAGATTTCCAGATTTTGGGTTTGGTCGTTTTTTTTTGGAGGGGGGGGGGGGGGGGGGGCCTTAGGCCAAGTAAAAGAGAATAATATTTTATCTGGGATTTGAAAAAAAATGAAAGGCCCCCTCCCCCCACAAGCCAGTGGGCGGCCATTATCATTATCACTATTATTAAACAAAACGAGCCAGGTAGAGTGGGAAAAGTGCAAGCTCTATAAGTTGCTTTACTGAGCAACCCCCACACACCTGAAGCGTCGACGAAGAAAACAAAATCAAGGGACAACAATTAAAAAAAAAAATTAAAAAACAAGAGAAAACAAGAACACGTGTGATCGAAGAAAAAAAAACTGGACAAAAACGAGCAACACTATACAAAAATTACGTGGACCTAAGATGCTTGAGCCCCCCCCCCCCCCCCCTCCACAAAAGGTTGTCAATTTTGTTTTTTGGGTTTTTTTTATTTCTTTCATATTTGTTAGTCCCACGATTTTACCTTGGGGGGGGGGGGAGGGGGGGCACGCTATTCTTAATTCCACCTGGACATGTTAAAATGTATTTCTGACGCATGTGTCAACAAAATACACATTCACGACATCGAAGCCATGCCGCTGCGCTGTACGATGCTCCCTACGCCCTACGCAGTGCAGTGCAGTGCATCGCCATTCACAGTTTAAAAAAATTATTAATATTACTATAGCCTAGATCTCCTCTGAATTTTGAGGAAAAATCTGCCGCAGAGACCCCCAGACTTGCTCTAAAATGCACCAGAGAGCTTCTAAAGACTGAAGGTCAACATTTTTCGGGGCCCTTAGGCAGGCCCTGAACCCCACGCCGTGGCTTCGCGAGTTGGCGTGTCACAACAAAACTTCCCGCACAGGCATGACAGGTTTGAAAAATTTCATGCCTCCCCCTTTTGGAAAATCCTGGAACCACCCCTGGTGATATTGTATTTTTGAGTACGTAGGCCTAGTATAATTAATTTTAATAGGGGTGTAGGCCTAGGCCTAAGTCAGTGGCGCCACCAACGTCAAAATAGTCCGTCCCCCGAAAAAAAGAGAAAAAAATCCAATTTTTTTCTGCGGCCAAACATTTTGGGCAACATTTTTTGAAAAAAATTGAGCCCCCCAAAACAAAACTCTGGTTGCGCCACTGTGTGCGTAAAGAATATCATGTCAGTTCACTATGCAGACCACATAATTCGGCCATGATTGGGCCTTCAGTTCACTCATCATGATCATGGCCGTCGAAACGCGGCATTTTGTGCCATGGAGGAATAAGTGCACGTAGAAAAAAATGGTGGGGAAAAATCTTCAAAATTCAAACCCGACCAACACTCAAATAAATCGTACAAATTACTCATTATGATAACATATAAAATCCAAAACCAGTCTTCTAAACTGTGCAAAATACAACGCATAAACAGTTGAACTTGCCTGCAGTCCGTCAGCGGGGTCGCGAAGTACAGAAATTCACGTGAAAATCGTGGATGTAAACACAGTTTCTGGCGCTGCAAAACGACCGCTGCATTCGTCTTTTGTAAAAACGTAACGGCTCCCGATCATAGTCCCGCGCACTGGCCCAACCTCATTTGCATATTCGTAATGGTACCCGACGGTTTATCGCCATAGGTTTCGTGCAGTGTTTTGGGGCACGGTGGGCAGGGTACCATGATCGATAGCGACGCGCTGCGATATGCAAATTACTTTGTTCGGGCGGGTCCCCTGACGTAGGTTGATGACGTCAGGGCACCTGACTGCAGTGCACACATGGCGAAGAAACAGATAGTAGACTTGTTTCAGTTCTAGTCTTTCAACTAATCAAGTTTGCCCTTTTTCTATCACAAAATTTGGGTTTTCCAGAAACAAACTGAATCATTTAACCGATTACAGTTTGAAATCACGAAACGAAGTGACCCTTACGGTCTAATTTGGAGAACTAGAAGGCTAATGCGAATTAAAGGGCCGGAGTATGGAGGGGCGGGGCTCCACTGTTAGGAGGGGGATAGGAATTCCGATTTCATCTTCAAGTGTGTGCATTGATGTCTGCCCACTAAAGGAGAAAAAACACCTGACTTATCAGTACTAATGTTTCAAGTTTGCTTGGAGATAAAAACTGAAATCGGTTTACAGGATATATTGCAGTAATCATGCATTGACTGCAGGTGTTGCGAAGCCCGGTGTGCATACAATGCAGGCAAGTTTGTGAACCCTGCACATAGCATGCAAGCTTTTGTAGTGCTTCGGTCGGGCACGCATAGTGGAAGAGGCGTGGCGAAAGGGCAATTCAGGGAAGGGGTAAAGGTACTATGTTCCATTAATATTTGTGAAGGAATATGGCTTTTTTAGAATATTCCGTGGGAGTTGCTTCCCAAATGACGTTATTATTAATGACACTGAATTTTGAAACGATTTCAAAAGACTCGAGGTAAAAACTCGATTGCAATTAGCCTGATTTAGTTTTAATGGAACACAATTACATTGAACGGTTAGTATAGCAGTTTGTTATCAGTACATGTAGGCCTAGGCCTACAGGGTATTCAGCAAAGCAATGCAGATGCTTCGGTATATATACCAGCATACAACGCAATTAGTATGTTTTTGTAAAAAAGATAAGTGATAGGGGATTACACACAATTTTCCCCCTTTAAAAAGAAGCTAAATTTGATAGGCCTACATCAACAAAGGAATTATATCGGGCATGTTCTTCCAACCATCTTTTAAAAACACAATTAAATACTGAATCGTTCCTTATAATTGCTATCAGAGGTTTTACTAAATGCGAGAATCCATATTTTTACAACTGTCCGTGGAATACTAAATGTGTGTTTGATTTGTCGGGGCCGACCGAGTGATCGCGAGCCAAGAGATTACGCATACAAAATTGAGACATTGCTTTTTAATGTCCGATTTTGTTTAATTTGAGAAATATTGGCTGTCACGAGTCGGCCTTATTAAATTTATAGCGAGGTAAACTCTTCATTTTGGGACCTTGCAAAGAGAAATGAAAGCAATGACATAAAGTGAATTACAAATTTATACCAGTCTGCTCTGATGAATAATATAAAACTTGTGATTAAACATACCCCAATGTTTTAACCCTAAAAGGGCCGGCTTATTTTGACCTACTGTCAGTCGTAATTTGAGAAAGATGTGCCCAGTAGTTTTGGAGTAGGACAAAAAAAGTATCCAGGGGGACTTTAATTCTTTTTAGGTTGAGTTTTGACTCGCACTGTATTTCGTTCATTCAATGGCGACGTTTCAACCTGAACAAAAAACTGATGACATCACACAGTCAATGAGGTACGACGGTAACAATTCCCCTCACGCGCAACCGATCTTCCAGGGTAGGATAAAAAGAAGAGTACATCCTGTTTGCACTTTTGAACACTAATTCCAAATTTGGCAATAAATAAAGAACTTCAGACTAGCGAGCACGATCTATTGTGCTGGTTGTGCGGTTGAAAATGTACTTAAGCTAGGGTATCAGGCTGTCCGTGACACAGTGAAATTGTATTTGGTATAGAAAGCCAATCTATTTCCTCTTCTCGATCGAGTACATTAGCTATAACACGAAGGAAACTAAATACTGAGGAATTTGCTCCAGAAAATCGCAAGCGACTTTTGGATGCCTTATTGGTATTTTAACAGTATTTTCAAGATCCAGTCCTCTGCTACCGGGCTTCATGGAATAGCCAATTTTCGAATTTCAAGTTGAAGGTAAGTTGCAGATTAATTCCATAAATTCAGGGTCCAATCCATGGTAAGGAATTTGTTTTGTTTTCCCTGTTACTAAATTAGTCATTCAAATACCAATTTAAGCGCCTTTCAAAATGGCTATTTTGGAATAGCCATTTTCGATTTTCAAGTTGAAGGTAAGTTGTAGATTAATTCTATAAATTCAGGGTCCAATCCATGGTAAGGAATTAGTTTTGCTGTCCCTGTTACTGATTTGTCAATCAAATACTTATTTAAATGCGCCTTTCAAAATTGCCCCCCTCCGTCTGACCCACCCCAAGACGTGGCGATTGTCAGTTTTGAAGTGACAAAATCCCCACCCCGGCGGGCAAAATTTAAGTGACAATCCCCGACCATGCCCCGACATACATACGTGGTGGGCGCACTAGTGATTGCCTTTCCATGTAGTACGATAATGGTACGTAATTTGATTGACCAAAATCCCCACCCTGGGGCACGGAAAACGTGACCAAATCCCGACAGTCGGACCTGGGGCAGCGGGGGGGGGGGGGCATTCGATTAGTACGATTAATAGTGACTTCAAACGATTTTTAATATGTTGGGTACAGGTAGTTTGCTGATCATGATCACTCTTGGTTCTTCTTGGTTCTTGGTTGGTTCTTCTCCTAAATACTCCGCGGGGGAGTTTGACCAGGAGACCAGAAACGCTGGGGAAAAAAACCTTGCAACTGATAATGAAGTAACCAACGGATAATGTATCACCAACCGATAATGCCACACAAATTGACCGATAGTGTAGTAAATTGTACTACACTATCAGTCGATTGTTGTTACATTATCGGTCTTAACCGATAATGTTGCAAATTTTGACTTATAGTGTAGTACAATTTACTACACTATCGGTCAATTGTTACATTATCGGTCAGTGATACAGTATCGGTCAATTTGTGTGACATTATCGGTTGGTGATACATTATCCGTTGGTTACAACATTATCAGTTGTAGCACACCTTCTCTTAGTGCCCCTGGGTTCTTTGACGAGCATTGCACGGGACCTACGGCTTTACGTCCAAGGACGAAGCAATAATGGTTAAGTGCCTTGCTTAAGGGCCCAAGTGTCCACCCGGCGGGCTCGAACCCACACCATGGAGCTATAAACACATAGCTCCATGCCCACACCAAGTACTTTTTGCCTCTGAAACACCAGAGCATGAGTCTGGTGTTCTTAACCGCTAGGCCATGACACTCCACTCTTCCTACTCTTGTAGGAAGACTAACTACATTGATAACTGCATCAGAATTATAAAATCGTTGATTTTTATAGCTCCATGGTCTGATTAACAGGGACAGGAAAAACATGACCCCACTTTATAGAATGCCCCATGTATAGTTCTATACGAAAACCCTTGCACCATAGCAGTATGGATAAACAGCAGGGCAATTTTATTATGTCTTTAGGGTTTTACAGGGTGGGTAAAAAAAAACCGAAACCCAAATGTCGGTACCATTGTTTTAGTAAAGTTCTGCATGTAGGTCCTAGCACTTTCAATATCAAGGATATGAAAGCCCACTTCATAAGATTTCTTTTAGCTCACGAATCATTCAAATCACTTATGTACTTTTCAAGTTACGGATTTTTAAACACAACCACCGTTTTAAAGTTCTGTCCAAGAATCACAAAAAAGTAAGTGTTCTTTCAGCAAGACGAAAACAAATAACATAGGGACGTGTGTGAATTGTTTTCGTTCTGCTAAGAACGCACACCTTCTGTAATTTCCCACTATTTTTTGTTGGCATAAAAGCCATGATAATCATGATGATATTTGAACAATATTCTACATGCTATGTCACTATTTTATATGCAAGGAAACATTTTCCAGTAAATTAGCGGAAGGCATTTATACTTATTTCTATACAAAAATAAATAATTGTTGGTATCATGGAATAGTGAATAAACTATTACGTGAAATACCTCAAAATTCATACATTTTGCACCAAAAACGCACCATTTGTGTCATTTTGAGTCGGTTACTATGACAACCATCAATGCATAACATTTCTTTCGGAGGTGTTTTCTCATAAAGTGAGCGTCGTATTTTGTAGTAATACATTCAAAAGTCTCCTAGCAGTTTGTTTTTACTATTGTTTTGCCAAAAAAATCCACACAAATATAATTAAAACGACAAAAAAAATGTTTTTAAAATGGCCGTCATTGAGAAAGGGGGGGGGCATATTTTGATATTTGTTTTCAAAATTGTGAATTGCCTAGCTCACAAGCTTTCAGTTGGTAACTTACCCAGTCATAATAAAGAATATTAATGAAAACAGTCACAGAAATTAACTTAGTAAAAAAAAAAATCAAAATCAGGGCTGAGTTTAAAGGGTTAAAAAAGGATAAGCGTTTAGCATTCAAACACATTCCTAATCGTATTAAACCATAAACGTCGTTTTTACGGTGTAGTTATTTTTTTGTACATAGGTCCTATTGTTTCGTTGGTAATTCAAAATATAATTATTTAAAAAAATGGCTTTAATATCAGAATGGATACAATTTTGGGGAATCCTTTTAAGATATACAGGTACTACTAGAGTCATGACTCATGTACGTATACCCCTGCCAATATTAGCCAATCAGTACCAAGATTGCAAGCTATCGCCTCCAACACTGACCAATCACAGACGTTCCTCTGCCTGGAAAGACCTTGAAATTGTATTTGTTTTGCCACTGAAAGTAAAAAAAAGAAGAAATGAATGTAATGTACAAATGATATATCTGATATTCTGTAGATTACTAGCATAGGCAAGTTGATGATCAGTTACTTTTGGAAAAAAATACTGAAGAACTTAGAATGCCGATGCACTCGGCAATCTGTAGGCAGTGACGTCATTTT